AAAAAAAAAAAAAAAAAGAATGGCAACTCTCCGAGCTTGCTTAGTCGTCCGTGAGAAGGTTCCCGTCAGCATCATACAAGATCTTGCCGGAAAAATCAATGGGGCGGCACTTTTCTCCCTTGATAATCGTCTTCTTCCAAACGACACCGTCCGCATCCTCTTCCTTCCCAGAGTCAGAATCCTCTGCTTCGCCCTCATCCTGAACCTTCCTCCAAGAAATCATCTTAGCCATCAAAACCGCCTTGCTCCTCATTTTCTCGATCACTGGCTTCTTTTGGCCGCCCAGCCTGGCAGTTCTGCGGTTGCCACCATGAGCTGAGCCGCAGAGGAAAGTTACCAAGGAAAATAAAGAGAGAAGCGCTGTCAAGGCTATCAAGAAGGTAACTGGGCCGGGTAAGAAGTTGAGCTTGTGCATGGCTGCCGGGACGGTAACTATTGAGCTGGGGAAAGGCCTCGCCATGGCCTGATTATGGCTGTTAATAGTATGTAACTTTTGGTTGGGGAAGGAAAGGAAGGAGAAAAGAAAGGCAAAGGATGACACACTGTATTTGTAGAGGTTCTAATTATGTGGGATCGATGAGAAAATATAGTTAGTTGTTTAGTTAGTTGAAGTCTCCTCCTAGCCTACTAAGGGCATTTTAATAAAGATATGACCCATATTTTTTTTTTTTTTTTTTAACTTTTTTCACTCGATGATGCGGAGAGTATGTGAATGAACTGCATAACCGTAACATTTGCATAACGGTTGAATATTCATTGAACTGTCATATAAGTTATTAGTTTATAAAAATGAAAAATATTGATAATATATACTGTTATCCTCCCTATATATAATTCTCGAATGCGCTGAGCCTACGTGGCTGCTTCTGGTGTTTCGGAATCCTATTTGGCGAAGAATCATGCTTCGTAATTAGGTTTGGACAAATAATATTAATATATTAATAATTAATAATCTAGGTTCGGGTATTCCATAAATATTATTTAGCTAACTTAGGTATTTTAATATCACTTTTACTAATATATCCCTAAATTTTGATTTGCTTCCTTCAATAAGTTATTGAATTATAAATATATTTTAAAAGTAGATAACTTTTGTATTTCTTATCGGTTTTACATATATAATATATCAAATTAATCATCTTTGATGATATTCGATTTGACATCCATATTGTATATATAAAATAAATAAATTATATTTATCTTTATAATAATAAAAAATAATAATATTTATTAAAATTCATTAGAAAAATAAAATTATTTCTCAATTGATATATTTATATTTAATGTAGTTATATAGTGTAAGTTAAAAATTAAATAAGTATCATATATATATTATACTAAGTTAAAAATTAGTATAATATAACACAAGTAAGTCGCACAAATAAAAAGTATCATAATAAATATATAATATATATATATATTCTTATAAAAGTTATTTAAATTTTCAAACTACTTTTTCTCATTAATTTTAAATTTTAAGAAAAAAATTAGCAAGCACCCGTGTAATACACGGGTGTTGTACTAGTAAATTATAATAACTCATTGAGTTATCTTTCGAACTACAATGTAAATTACAAGTTGAGAAAGAAAAATCAAAATATATATGTGATATATATTATTATAAATTAATAATGATAAATCAACTGATTTTCAACTATCATATGAATTATTAAACTAGAAAGATAATTTAAATATCTTACAGAATGAATATTACAAATAATTTAATAATATTGATGTGATTAAAAATTATTAAATTTTTTAACACTAAATAATATACACCAAATTCTTGTGAAATTAAGTGTCAGTTTATAATATTTGTTACAATTTTTCAATTCTACATCACTTATATAGGAATATAAATAATATATTATAATAATGTATGCGTAATAAAAAAGAGAGAAATATTTTTGTGGCTATTATATATTCATTGATAATGTTTGAATATGTCAAATTTTCATGTTCCAAAATTCTAAACAAGAAAACTAAAATGACAAAAATTTTATAACGACTTAAATAAACATAGAAATCATATATTAAAATATTATATATCATAGAAATAAAAAATATATTAGTATTCAAAAATATTATTATTAATATTCCTTTACTACTTTAATTTATATAAATTGTCATTGTTGCCCCGTGCATCATATGGAATACACACTAGTTGTTAAGTAAAAATAATGAATTTTATTTTTATCACTAAAAAATATATATATAATTTTGTTTTATCATTTACTTATATTAGTGAATAATATTGTTAAGATAATTTTATGTACGAAAAGGATAATTAATTATACATGTAATAATAAGTTATTAAAAGGTCATCTAACGAAGATCTTAAAAGGTCAATTAACTCATACATGTAAGTTATTAATTTCCCTTTTAATTAATACGCATTCAAATGCACTATAACTAAAATCGCAGTACTTGACATCTCGTGTTTTAGCGGCAAGAGAAGACTTGACATAGGGTCAACCATTTGGATTGTGGTAAGATGAGACGCGGGGTATGGGCATATGGTGGGACATCTATGGTGCCTGGATGGATTATGCATTGCTTAAAGTCTCGAAACTAGCTAGGAACAGTTAAATGGTCACTACTCTTCACCACCATTGAACAAGACGTCTTGTGGCCCTAATTAAGCAACTACTACAGTATAACATTACTCTTTTTTTTTTTCTTTGTTTTTAAGCCGTCATTAAACAACAACAACGACGACAACATACTCAGTATATTCCCAACAAATTGGGGTCGAAGAGTCAGTTGTACGCAGACCTTACCTTTGTAATTATACAAGGAAGTTGTTTTTGTATCGACCCAAAGCGCATTGGGTCGTTTGGTATATATATATGTTTTTGTCTATCATGAAATGTATAGTGTGAAGAAAGAAAATAAAAATATTATATCTCCAATGATTAATGTCAATTTTGGAATAATTTTACCATGTAAGATAATAATTGGTTGGTAGAGACAAAAATATAAAATAAATTATATAATATCGAAAGAAGATGTAGAAAGACTTCTACATATTTTAGATGCCACATTGGATTTTTGGGTCCTTGTGACAATGAAATAGAGCAATCGCGCGATGATCCATTGAAGATATTCTAACATGTTTGCGATCAATGGGTTAAAAAATAATGTAATTTTTTGTGGAAAACAAAGTCGCCATATCAGACGTGACCAAGTCGGTAAACTACTTGTGGATGAGTATGAATAAATGATTCTCCAAATTTGCATTGCCAAATAATTGTTTGAATATGAAACTGATGCGCCCAAATCCCCAATAGAGCTCAATTTCTTGGCGTACCTAAGAGGGAGTACTTTGAGAGAAATTGATAACAACTTTTGCCAAGTCAATCTTGTTGGTGTTCGATGAAGAACGTCAAGATTGCACAAGCTAGAATTTAAAAACATTGAGATAAATTGGGTAATTATTATTGGAGTCTAAAATCTAATTTAAGCCCTAAATGAGAAGTGCAATAATAATTCTTTAGTGGACTAGAATATTATTCAAGTTTGAGTATAGTGGATTTGTCCCACAACTAGGCCCAAAATTGAGAAACCCATATTTATTACCTCCTTAGGGTCTATGTTGTAGTCTATAAATACACCATATCACTTAGGATTTGA